TAATTCTTTCATTGATACATTGTTTAACTTATGCATTTTTAGTTATTATTATACTTCAAATCATATTACATTAGTCTTTATTCTGAAGATTGATTAGTTTAAGGCAAATTTATATTTTCTTTTACTTATATAAACCCCAATCCTATACTTAGTTAGAGTTCAAATTGACACTACTTGTCTATAATTATTTTCACTCTCTCAATACAACTTTTATATTATGGAGATAATTTTATTATTTTATTGATAGCTTCATCAAACCCAAAATTTTAGTAGTAATTTTTTAACAAGAGAAGTAGAGATTCACTATTATCATAAAGTTTTATTAATATTGTTTTTTTTTTTTTTTTTAGCTAGAGCCCAGAGTTTTTTTTAATAAAAGTACTATGGTTTTATCATTTTGAACTTAAGTTTTGTCTTTTGTTAGCAGAATTTGAGATTTTGTATTCATCAGGATTTTGCCATTTTGGGGTTTAGGTTTTCTATAATTGGTAAAATTTGGACTTTAAAGTTTTTAGGTTTTATTTTGCTTCATAAAATTAACACCTTTTTTATTGCATAATTAAAGTTTTAATCTCTCTAATCTGGCACATAGCAGATTATTTCCAATAAAGTTTATAATTAAATATTTTATTATTGGTTGTGATCTTACTCATAATCTGCTATATTTTAAACAATTTTATATTATCCTACTTATTAGTATTGGAGCCCATGGACTATATAGCAAAAAATATTGCAAAAAGAAAAACTATTATCTGAGTTTCAAGTTTATAGCTTATAGGACTGTTTGTATATATAAACTTAAAACTTAGATAGTCTTTTGTGGCAGTGTTATAAAAATATTGTGTTTAAATTTCTTTATTATATTTTCTATATATATTAGTATTCTTTATTATATTTGTTAGTGCTATTGATATTACACTGGCAATTATAAGTAGAGATGGGCAGCCGCAGTATCATGTCATGCTTGTATGCAATAATATATATGCATGATACACATTTAAATGCTTGTACTATATAAAATGATACATAATCATGATAATAATTATAATCCAATAGGTATGGGAAACTATCAATAATGTAGATCCTATTGCTTGGTGGAAAGGGAATTTTGAACAATCAGTGTCTAAGTTATATAAAGTTGCTATCAGAATTCTCCCAATTCCTTCATCTTCAGTAGCCTCCGAATGTAATTGGCCAGCATTTTCTTATATTCAAAAAAAAAAAAGCTCGATTAACAAATGATTAAATATTTAAATTAGTATATATCTATAGTAATTATAAACCTACTTGTCCCCAGATAGAAATTTCTGATATAGCCAATGCTATAGCATGGCTTAATAATAAGCTATCACAAGATTCAAATAATCAAGAAGATACTGAATTATTAGATCCAATGGATGATAACTTAAATAACTTATATAAGAAATATTAATAGAAGATAAAAGCAAATTGTTTGAAGATTTGAAAGAAATCAATGGTGAAGATATAGATAGTAATGATACAAATAATAAAGAATAAATTATTTTTGAATATGCTAATAAACATGTATTTAATTATAGCAATCAATAATTTAGTATAAATAATTTTATTAAATAAATATTGCTCTTGCAATTATTGCTAATACATATTAATTGTATGATGTAATTTTACCATATTGAGTCTAATTATGCACATCATGTAACATGATGTGTATAACATAGTTCAAAATGCTATCTCTAATTATAAGTAGTGCAACAAAGAAAAAATATTACTTATATTATACTACCTTCCACAATTTTGGGCATATCAGGTATTTTTTTATTTTATTCACCAATACCAATGTTTTCTGATTTTAGAATTTTAGTAGGTATTATTAATACCAACACAAAAATAATTATCTGTATATTATAAAACACATGTTGTATTACTTTTGCTTGTTTTTAACAAGGTTCAAATCACATGATCTGTGCAATATAAATACAATTAAAAAGTAAATCTCATTGTCGATTTTGCATTTTGTACAATGCTAGAATTTATTGATAATCAAGAAAAAAAACAAAGAGCAAAACAACTCCTACCTAATGAGTTTAAGTATTACTCTTACTTCAGAAAGAGTTTACAAAAAAAGCAGTAAGTTGGGCCTATAATATTTTCTTTACTATAGTCCCACGAATTACAAAAAGGTGGTTAACAAACTATTTACTTGAAGATTTAGCAAGGGTTGGTCACTCACCTTCATTGGGTAAAATAACCCAAAGAAGAATAGTGAATCTCATTACCTCCTGTAAGTGCTCCACTACTGTTGAAGTGAGGGCTTACTTTGCAAAAAAATGCAAATATGAATATTTTAGTGCCTACAATTTGCTGTATATTTTGTAGCTACAGGTTAATATTAGGGTAAAAAAAAAACTATATCCAAGTGACAGTTATTGAAAAGCATGGCTCGTTTTTGCAAAGAAATATAAAAATTGAACCATCAACAATTGGTTTAAGGTTATCTGGTCTGATGAATCTAGATTTAAAATTTTTGAGTCAGATGATAAGCAATACTACTGGAAGCATCATGGGGAACCATTAAATAAGTTCCACATGAAGCCCACTATAAAATATAGAGGTGGTTCAATCATAATTTGGGAGTGTCTTAGTGCCTGTGGTGTCTGTAGCTATTGCAAAGTCAATGGCATAATAGATAGTGACTTGTATTAGCAGATACTTTGTGAAGACCTGATGTAGATGATCAGAAAACAAGAATTTGATGTTAGGAAGGTAATTTTCCAACAAGATAAAGCATCTTGTTATATAGCAACCTTGATAAAATATTTGCTTAAGATGAATAAGGTGAAGTTCTTCAATTAGCCCCAATCTCCTTATTTGAACCTGATTGAAAACCTGTAAAACAAAATCAACCATTTGTTGAAAGATCTCTCTGGACAAATTTCAAGTGAGATGGATCTTTGGCAAAAGATTAAAGAGATCTAGCAAGTGATTGATGTTAAAATCTGCAAAAGGCTAGTTCAATTGATGCCAGACTGAATTCATGCTATAATTAGGGCTCAGGGTGGGTACACCTGATGGTGAAGGTGGATAATTTTTAAATAGAAAAAAAATTTTATTTTTTTATATAAAAAAATTTTTTTGGTTTATAGCCATAGTTGCTGCAAAAATAAGCAAAAGTAATGCAATATGGCATTTGAAATAAAGCTCATGTTTGTAAAAAATTTTGTTCATTAAATTTTTTGTTTTTTTTTATTGATAAAAATGTTAGTATTGGTGAATAAAATAAAAAAAACTACTCGATATACCCAAAACTGCAGGAGGTAGTAATGTAAGTAAAATTTTTTTTTGTTACACTACTTATAATTGCCAGTATATATTGATGTGCATGGTTTAGAGCTACGGATATTGGTTAGGACTATAAAGCTTGGTTTGAAACCCTAGAACTTGGTTTGAGATCACAAATCTTGGTTCAGAATAGTGATGCAAATGGCTTGAGCCGAGCTGTGAGCCAAACAGCTAAGCCGAGCCAATTATCGGCTCAGCCACATATTTCCTAATAAAGTATCAGCTCTAAAAATGGCTCGGCTTAAAATTTTGAAGCCATATATGAGCCGTGAGCCAATAACCAATTAGCCAATAATATCTGTGTATTTAATTTATTGTTCAGCACTTTAAATTAAAATTTGTTTTATTCTTTTTATTTTACAGTAAAACCTCTATTGCACTCTCTATAGGTGCACACCCTTTCTAAGTGCATGCTCAAGTTCTGGCTTGAATATATACTTACCCCCTATAAATGCACATTCTCTTATTGATCTCTAAGTGCATGTTGTTAAAGCTTGGCCCCAAGTGTGTGACTTAGAGGTTTTACTGTATTTGTTAGCTACATGTGGCATTAAATACTGTTAATATTTGGCTAGAAAAGGTGATTATGTTTTAGTTTTAATATTAAAGAGAGCTTTACAAATTCATTTAAATTAAAAATTTAATAACGCTTAATACTTATTTTTAGATATTTTTTGCTATAATTCATTAAGTTCCAATAATATGTTTGCACCTCTACTTATTTTTTGAGGTTAATTTATTAGATTAATATAGTTTTGGTTAAATAGCCGATAGTTAAATAGGTGAAATTGTTTGATATAATATAGAGGTAGAAATGTGTCATTTATAATAATAGAATTACTTTCAATAAATAAAAAAAAACAATTTTTAATTTTCTTGTTAATAATTATATATCTTTATTTAAAATATAAAAAAACTATTCTAATTTTACTTAGCAAACAGTATGGTTAGTGCGATTATATGTTTCTATCAAAAACTAATATATAACCAGCTTGTAATATATAGTTTGAACTTTGTGGCTGCATATATCTGCACGATTTGCAATTCTTGAACTTCATCATGTAGTATAGCATATTTTTCCATATAGTATAAGCCAGTATCAAGTATATTTTCTACATTGTAATTACCTTAATTAGATTCCTGCTCCATTAACTTGTCTCTTAAATCCTTTGTTTTTCTTATAAATTGCTAAAATCTTAGTAGCTCAGTTGAATTGCCATACAATTTTAGCTTGACTCAAGAGTAAGAATGAATAAGCTGATGATTAAGCTAGCATAGCCATGGTTTTGGAGCAGAGCCACCTTAAGCAGTATACTAAATTCTTGGTTATGGTTTTGAAATTAAGCCATCTTAAATGGGCATAACTAGCTTTTTAGCCATGGTTTTGGAACTGAGCCCTTTTAAGCTAGTATAACTGGCTTGAGAGATTATGTAAAACCTGCTTGATCAGCCGATCCATTCTTTGAAAGTTGGTATGGGTAATCATACAACTTATACGGAAATAAAATAAAAGTATTAGAATTCTTTTTAAAAGTAAAATCTACTAACATAGCCTTAAAAATCTGCACAATTAATTCCTAAATATAAATTTCTAATATACAATTAATAAATATAAAAGAGCTTAAAATATAACATCTAAATTCAAAATTGACACTTAACTTCTACAAATAAATTTCATAATGGATACTAATAATAATTTTGAAATCGACATCTGTGTGGATTCTCCTTTTGAGTCTCCAGACATTCTTCAAGACACTTATGATGACAATATGACTACAGCTATTGCTACTACAAGCAATGATATGAATATTGCATCTAATATCTCCGATAACCCTGTTAATAAAAAATCTAGATCTCAACCCTCTCCTGTTAAACTATTTTTTTTGCAAAAAACTCTTGATGGTAAAATGATAATTTGTAGTATCTGTAAAAATCAGTATAGTATAACCACGGCTACTGGTAACTTATGCAAACACCTTGATACTCACCATCCAAGCTGGGATTCGGATAAGCAAACAGGCCAACAAAGTCTTACTTTTATATCTGAAATCACAATTTCAAAACAAATTTTAACATTAGCTCAAAAAACTAAATTCAATTCACTAATTGCTGAGTGGATTGTGTCTGATACTTTACCTTTTTCTGTTGTCTCAAGTAAATCTTTTGCTGCTTTGCTTCAATATCTCAATAATAGTATCGATTTACCTTCACGTGAAACTATGAAGTCTAATATCCAAAATGCATTTATTGTAATGCAGAGAGACGTTCTAACTCTTCTTCAAAAAGTTTTAAGTAAAATTTCTATTACATTAGATATATAGACCTCTCGTGCCAATATGCCTTTTCTTTGTGTTATGGCACATTGGATAGATAAAGACTGGAAACTTAAAAAAATCTTATTTGATATTCGTATGCTTCCTCATCCACATACTGGTGAAGATATTTATAAAAAATTGCGCTCCATTTTTGCAGCTTTTGATATTTCTACTAAAATTCTTTGTGCTACTACTAACGGAGATGCTAATGTAATTTTAGCAATGCAATTGTTAAAAAAAAATCTTGTTTTACATGAGCATAATTTCGGTTTTCAGTCTTGTCGTTGTTTAGCTTATATATTAAATCTTATTGTTACTGCCAGTTTAACATCTATTAAATCTTCTATCGAAAACATATGCAATCTTGTTAAAGCCATCAATTCTTCTTCATCTATAACTCAAGATTTTAGAGAACTTGGAAAATCCGTTAGTGAAAGTGAATCAATCCGTAAAATTCCACAAGATATTTTGACCCAATGGAACAGCACATACCTTATGCTTTCAATTTATATAACTATGCCTACAACAATTGCGGCTATTATTAGACATAATAAAAGCCTTAACAAATATAAGCTTTCACCACAAAAAGAAGCTGACCTTCAAGCTGCAACACAATTTCTTTGACCGTTTTATGAAACTACCAATGTTCTTTCCGGAAGTACATATACAACTATAGGTCTTTCAATCATACTTGTTGATAATATAATTGATGCAATTTCATCATGTATTCAAAATTCAACAAGCCCTACCTTCTTTAAAGTAGCCGCAACTCAAATGTCTGATAAACTCCAAAAATATACAGACGAAATCTATGATAAAACAGCATTTATAGCTGCTATTCTTGATCCTCGTTTTAAACTTGAGCTAATGCCTGTTGATATGAGCACTGAAGTGAATCGTGCTACTTTTAATAATATTTTTAAATTAGAGTATTTTGCACCTACTTTAAATAACAATTCTTCTACTAATTTAGAAACATCATCGAATTTATCATATACAGAGCAAGTTGCTCAAAAAAGAAGAACAAATACTCTCACCAATAGGGCAGATGAAGTTACCCAATATCTAAATGAAGCTGTCTTGCCTATGAGCATTGATCCCTTGAACTGGTGGAAGCTTAATTCTGATCGTTTTCCTCATCTGTCTCAAATGGCCAAAGATTACCTAGCCATTCAAGCTACCTCTGTGCCCTCTGAACAAGTATTCTCCAAGGTAGGTGATATAGTTTGTGCTAAACATACACGCCTATCTGAGAAGAGTATACAAGCACTTATGTGTATTAATTCTTGGTTAGATCATGACATTAAATTTCATAAATTGGATACTCCCTTTATTAGAAATTAAATAAACTTTTCTTCATACAGTACATATAACTACTGTGTTTATACTAAATATAACGATAAAAAGTTTCAGTAAATTATTAATAGTTTTAAAAAACTAAAGCTATTGTCACTTACTTTTGATATAAATTCGTTTAACCAACAATCAAGATCAGTCTGATTTAAAGTTAGAATATGCTAATTAAAATTGGTATTTTCTGTGAATTCTGAAAAGCTGGCTAACGATAATGTAATGGTAACGGTAAGAAATTTTTAATCGGATAAAAAAAAAAAAAATTGTAACGGTAACGGCTCAGTACTTGTAATTGGTTGGCTTGAAATTGGTCGGCTTATAAATGGCTCGGCTCTAGTTTTTGAAGCCAAATAATCAGCTCGGCTCTGGTTGTGGAGCCGAAAAGTTGGTTCGGCTTTATAATCATTAGCCGCGAGCCTAGCCGAGCCAGCCATTTGCATCACTAGTTCGGAATCATAGATCATGGTTCCCGACCATGGCAATTTTGCAATGTATAAATATGACAGTTAAACTGATAAAGAGAAATAATAATTTCGAGAGAGAGTCATAACTAAGTAATAAATAACGCCCTTATGAATCGTATACCAACTAAGATACATTCTTTACAGCTGATCTGAAAATTAGTGGGACAACGCGATGAATTTTTGTGATGATCATCGGCAAATTTCGGTAATTATAGCTATCAAAATTACAGGCAATTTTCGGTAACAAAGAATACAGTTTTCGCTAATATAATCTTGGCCTTTTACCGACCGAAAATTATATTATTGAAAACTGCATTTTTATTACTGAAAAATAATTACCGAAATTTGTCACGTATCCCACTAATTTTCAAAGCTGTAATCAGGGTTTAAAATTGGCATGCACAAGATGCACATGTGCATGTGTTTTTTTTTGGAATTTTTTGGAATTTTAAAAAATCTCCTAAGTGTGCATGTAATGCTTTTTAAAAAAGGTGCACGAGAATTTTTTTTTGAATTTTAAACACTGGCTGTAATCACCTGTTATCATTAAATTCGAATCCTTTATAAAAATTCATCTCGCATAACCTACGTTTGTAACCCTGAGCTAATTTGATATCTTGTATCCAAGTCTCTCCTACGGTTATGACAGCGGATTATCAGATCGTTCTGATCATGTTCGAAATTTTTTTATCATAATTTGTGTGGTATTTTTAAGATTTTTTATGTTCGACGACTTTTGACTCTATAATATAATGTATATTGCTATGTAAACTTTATTATGTATATACATAGGTACGTACTAAAATACATATTATAATTATTAACAATTGCGATTTACTCAGATCATTCCCGATTATAGCTATTTATAGTAAAAACATATTGTTAAAATCAAGACGCCCGAAGTTATGTCTTGACTATAACTCTTACAGTCTTCTACATTTTAAAACATCAGCTTTGTGCGTTACGCGTTCTACATTTCTTTGATGTTATTAACTGAGGTATAGATAACACTAATAACATGCATTAGTGACTGTGTGTCAATAGAATAATAATAGGGTTTTCAACAGAATTTTTACAGTACTAATGATAGAAATCACTGAAATAGTAAGTTCTGTCAATACTCGTAATATAAATTATAATAATTACAATGTAAACTGGCTCACCTTAACAACTTATTGTGGTTATCAAAAATAGTGAGTGATTTCTGTAACGGAATTTTTCAGTAGTTCATGATAGAATTATAAATTATTTAATGCAACTAACTCACGTTAATCACATATTGTAGTCAACAGAATAGCAAGTTCTGTAACAGAATAATCATTAACTCATGATAGAAACCACAACAATTCCAATGCAAACTATTCCAGACTTAACGGTCACCGAATAGCGAGTAAGTTCTATAGATTTTTTTATAATAACTCGCAATAATTTCTATGCAAATTATTTCGGGTTAACCACATATTGTGGTCACTGGATTAGTGAGTAGGTACTATAATAAGATTTTTTTGTTAGCTTCATAAAACAGCATATCTTTGTCTATTAATATTTCTATCCATACTAAAGTCATTTTTAGCAATTTATCAATATTAAAATTTTTAGGATCAGGATTCAAGCATGGTTCAGCTAATTCTACATAATATTAAAGATGAGTATAGTTAATATTGAATGGTCTGTCATTGTTAGGCATAAGTCTATTGCTATCTCTTCATATGATTAGACTGAATCCATTAATATTTGCTTTAATTTTTTTTTACTTTGAAGAACTTTGAGAAAAATATAGGATAAAACTCATAAATCTCACTGGTTTTGATTTTTTTTTTTTTTAATTCTATAGATTTGTATAATTAAAATAAAAAAAAATTATCAAATTTGATCCAGTGGGTATTGAGAAATAATTACTTTATTAATAAAAAATGTATGTTTTTTCTTTTACAAAAGATATAAAATTTGA